ATAATGGAAACGAGAAAGAAAAACATCGAGGGGAAATCTTGTTTCAGTGTGATTTCTGCGAGGAAAATCCAGAATCCCAGTCCACTTCCACACGAGCTAAAATAAATTGATCAAAATCAAAGAGAGAGTACCTAGAAACGGATGAATGTCAAATTACAAAGCTTTTGCCTTTCACTCTCTCTGTGCCTCTATTTTTTTCTCACGGAACTCTCTTTGTCAACTTTCTTCCCCTTCCCCTCTACAGCCGAAGCCGCTTTTTATACACAAAAATGTAGAACCCAAACCAATTTGACTAGTGGAAAAGAGGATTGAAGCCTTGATTATTAATTATATCTCTTAATTACAGTATATTATTTTCTTAATGGAAGTACAAATGTGTACATTTGTCGTTTCAATGAAAGTATATAGTGGCAACTGTATAAATAGGTTATAGCTCTGTCTTTCCCTTACCTTAAGTAGAGGTTTTATTTACTTGTTTTAGTAGGTGGGGCAAATTAAGGCCCATATATATTTTCTTTTAATTTCCCATGCTTTGCAAAAAATAATGATAATAATAGAAAACGTTCTTGTGGCCTAATACTTATGTCATTTTTGTAAAGAACTTCATACTAAATTTGGAGGTGTAAGGTTTGAAATCAACTCCCAAACATTTAAAATAATAATAATAATAATAAAAATAATACTTACAAATTAAGCGTCCTAAGAGATTAATATCTAATTAATGCTGATCAAAATACAGAAATATATACTTCGTTTTACCCATATAGATCCATACATATATGCATTTTTTTCTGGAGTATACTCTTACCCATAAAACATTATAGAGATATTAATCAAACACATAAGATATTCTCCCCAGTCCAAATATCAACACGAACAGTGTTTCTTACTTACAGACATGGATCTCATGGTGGTGATCCATAGTCATGTTCATCACTATTCAGTTTAAGGCACTTCACAGGCGGAGGGTGAGGTCAATATTCGCAGAATCATCCACATCAGTAGTTGTGGAGAGAGCGTCGACAGTTGAAACGCCCAGAAAGCTCCGAGGGACCGAGCTGGAAGGAGGGTGCTCCTGCTGCTGCGGTTGCGGCTGGCAGGGTTCCAACCACTTCTCAACAGACACTGCTGCACCTGCCTGTTGGTCCACGCTTGGGAAGTGGGGAATAAATATGGAAGAGATGTGTTGTTGCTGTTGATCAGTGGGGAACTGAGGAAGTGGGTGGTATTGCTGCTGGTCGGCAGGCCGGATGGTTTCGGGAAGCAGCGTGGAACTGAGGAAGTGGGTGATATTGTTGCTGGTTGGCGGCCGGACAGTTTCCGTGAGCAGCGGGGAGCTGAGAAAGTGGGTGGTATTGCTGCTGGTCGGCGGCAGGATAGTTCCGGCCAGCAGCGGGCAACTGAGGAAGTGGGTGGTATTGCTGCTGGTCGGTGGAAACTGAGGAAGTGGGTGGAATTGCTGCTGGTTGGCTGCCGGAAAGTTTCTGGGACGAGCGCCTCGCTTGCGCTTGTGAGCGTTCTGATGGCCGCCGAGAGCTTGGTAGGTGTCGAAGACCCGTCGACAGTAGAGGCAAGGAAAACGTCGCGGAGATGAGGTGGTAGATGGAGGTGTTGCATGCCTGGTAGGTTCGGCTGCAGAAGGCTGGCTCTGGCTCAAGAAGTTGTTCCTGGAGGGGCTTGTCATTGAGGTTGAAGGGAGGGGGAGTGAGGCTAGGGGAGGGGAATGGGGGAGGGTGCAATTTATATATAGGGATAGGGCATGCAGCATACGCAAGACAGTGGGAAAGAAAATTCTTATATTGATTTCTTTTTGAAAAATGATTTAAGAATAATATTTTTATATTATTTTTTTTATAATTTTATATGTTAGTTAAATAATTAATTTAGGTTGAAGGGAGGGGGAGTGGAGGCTAGGGGAG